CCAAATATGTCATTTGCAGATTTGGCACACATTGCCTTGGGCCAGGCCTTGCTTCATGCAGTAGCCTTGCAGAAAGCTGTGCCCACAATGCTGTGCTACTGATTCAAACATATTCAAACAAAAAAGCCCTTGCAGGCAAACGGATTTCAAATGATAGCTCTTGAAGCCAAAACTGAAAAACAACAAGCAGAACCAAGGGCAGCACTGCAAGTTAGTGGTCACTTACTTTCATGCTGGAAAATATGTCTAGATAAGTATGTCAAGAGAAAGCCTAAGCGTTTCTGTTTTCCCCCACTGCCTGTATGATTTACCATTGCTGTGTTTGCATGGTTATTTACCACAAGGCAGCCCACGATCTTTTGTCTGACCAAGGAAATATTTACACTTCCTTTTGTTCCCCTGCTGCCTTTCTTGTTACCACTTGTTGTATTCCTGTCTTGAACTGAGACTGAGTCCCCCCAAAGTAGGGAGACTGGCACTTGTCACAGCCACTCACACTGCCACGGCATCTGACACATCCATAGATTCCTTTGAGGAAAGCTGGTGTGACATGATTTGCTTCCTCAGCATTCTTCTTCACAATGGCCTTTTGCTTGGGCTCTGCTTTGGCTAGGGTTTTCTTAGAAGCTGGCCTCTTCATGGCAGTATCCAAATCATTGCCCTTCCTCTTGGTGAGCATGTGTTTGGCCTCAGCTTCATAGTCCTCAAGGCTTTTGCCTGGGTGCCATCATTTCCTCCAGCAGGTGCAGCACAGTCAGAAGGTGCAGGTAGAGGCAAAACAGCTGGAACTGCCGGCAAAGCTTTGGGAGTCAGGAGTCCCTTGGGCCGGCCCCATCTGAGAGCAAGGAGTTGCTGGAAGGAGGCTTCTCCAAGCTATCATTGTTCAAGATTTTCTGGCTCAAGGCATCCAAAGCTCTGGCCTGTTTCTCCATCATGTCAAAGAGATGGGTGGTCACCATACTGTTTGTAGGATCTTTCCCTGTCGAAGGCTCTGCTGGCAACTGCTGAGAGGTTGCCTGTGGAGTGGCCACAGCCCTGAGTTCCTTGGCAGTTCCGCTCACCGTGACTTTCTTGGCAATGCTTCCAAGGTTTATCATATGACTGGTAGCGAGCAAGCAGAAAGCCTGCAAGTGTTTATGTTCAAATGGAAATATGTATACGTGTCCATGTGTGTGTGTGTTCAGGGATTATGTCATGGCTAAATTTTGACTTCAAAATTATCAGCTTGAAAGCAGCCATCACCAAAGATTCTACAAACCCAGTGCCTCCCCAATGTCGTGGGGGCTAGGTGGGTACCTTGCCAAACCAGCATGCAGAGGTTGAGCCACCACAGCCTCGAACGTATCCAGCACAAAATTTGTACATGTCAAAAACTGGAGGCAAGACATTGGTGATTTCACCTGAAGGCTGACCAAAAAGGATGTCAAGTACTTCTTGGTGTCTTCTTTGAGGCTTTTCAACCCACACACTTTGATTCTTTTGATCAGCATGTGGGTAGCATCAACTGTGTTGATGCCATTCTGCATCTGCTGCCATTCGCTTTGGGACAGGTAGTTCCAAGGCGTGGTCATGCTTTGAGGTGTAGCCTGCAACCTGGTGGCCCCTTGGATTGAAGAGGCTGCCCTTGATTCGAGAAATGCTTGCAACTCTGCCTTCGTGTCAGCAGTCAAGATGCCATTTTGAACAGCATCAGGACGCTTCAAGAAGTTAGAAGCAGCGAGCATTTGGACACCGTTCACTTTGGACTGCAAAGCTTCCTGCATTCGTGGCACCAGCTGTGAACCAGCGTTCCTTTGGTAAATCGCTTCCATATCACTAATCTCCTTGACTAAGTCCTCAACGTCCCAAGTAGCCATGGTGATCAAAGGATCTAGGCTAAGCTGAGCCCACAATTCCTATGAAGCAGAAGCAGAAGAGAATTGATTCTGCTAACCTTCAAAGTTAGAATTATGACAGCTCCTTTGGGCATGGGATAAAGGAGTTTAAGCCTTTACATGAAAGCCCCTTTGGGCAGAAACAATTTAGTTTACAAAATAAAATGAAAGCCCTATCAGCAAAACCTGTAGCAAGAGTCGGTGGGAATGGGTTCTGGGACCCTTTAAGGTTAGAAGCATATAAACTTCAGTGGGCTCTCATACCCAACCCTGGACCTTTACATGAAAGCCCCTTGGGCATAAACCACAATAGTTTCAAAATAGCAGGAAAGGCCACTGGGCCAGAAAAAAACAAGTACACCACATGGTGTTTTTTTAAAATATTTTCTCCCCCCACAGTATTTTGATTCCACCCAAGTATGTTTTCATCCAGGCTTTCCATGCACTATGGGCATACAGCTGCAGCTATCAGGCGCAGATAGCATCGCCAGAAGGAACAGGGACCCCAGCCAACATGTAACTGATTTTGATCACGTTCTTCAGGCTGGCAGGCAAAAGATGTGGGCCTTCATTCTGCTTGAAGTGCTCAAGAGCATCCTGCCTGAGCAAGCGAGCAATTTGTTTACGTCTATCCTCATACTACCTGAGTTCCCGTATGCTTTAAAAACATGATGAATTTCAACCTGGTAACCAAGAATCAAAACCTGATTGATGAATCTCGACATACCAGAGGCTCTTTCATCCATTGGATGAGGTCCAGGTTTGAAACTGTCGAGATACCATTGGATCAGTGGCTGAACCCCGTGCCTGACCCCTATTACTGGACATCCTGACAGCTTACACCTTGACAAGAAAAATGCAAAGGACACATGTCTGATGCACTAATGGAACACCAAAACCTGAAGCATCAATGTGCTATACTTGTGACAGCTTCAAAAAATGAAAGCATCAATGTGCTTTTTGGCTAAAAAAATGAAAGCCCTAAAGGCTGCTTATGTAAAAACTACATTATTTTTTTGATAGTTGTGCCAAATAGTAAACCAAATTAATATCAAAATCTGAAAAGTAAAAAATATACTATTGTAGGTTCAAGTTAAGGTTCTGAATTGAAATGCCAACTGTTTGTTTTCCAATTTAGATTTCTGAATTGACATGGAGATTGTTTGATTTTCAATTTGGAATTCTGAATTGAAATGGTGATCGTTTGATTTTCAAGGTAGATTTCTGATTGAAATGGTGAATGTTTGATTTTCTATTAGATTTCTGAATTTAAATGGCGACTGTTTGATTTTCAATTTAAATTTCTGAATTGAAATGGTGACTGTTGGATTTTCAATTTCGATTTCCGAATTGAAAATTGCGACTGCTTTATTTTCAATTTAGAAACAGAATTGAAATTCTTACTGTTTGATAGTTTGATATAAGGTTTTTTTAACCACCCAGGCTTTGCTGGAGTCAGTAAGATCTTAGGCGAGTACAAGTGTTCAAGCCATACTCACCCTCCAAGTTCTTTTGCCATCCACACTTTTGACGTAGCCCACCAAAGCTGCCACATACGCCTTCACCCGTGAAATCTCTTCCCATCGTTATAGTAGGCATCTCATCCTGTGCGCTTCTCCAAGCTTCCAAGCAACTACTAGCCCAGAAACTTTCCTGAACCAACCTCCACTAGAAGTTCCTCGAGGAGGCACGAACTCTGGTACCTGAGAATGAACAATACTAAATGCATAGATCAAGAAACTTGAATCCCACACAGAAAGCAAAACCATAGAAACATATGATGCTTGAGAAAATGCATGAATTTCCTATCAGATACATCTTGAGTAGAGGACGGCCCAGTCGAAGCTTGAGAGCCTTTTTGTTTGGTGCAATAAAGAAGCTTCTTCACCTGGTCAGGAGTACAGGTCAACCTCCCCCATTGCTTCTGGAACTGGACCAGGTAGTTCTTTGGGGATGCATGCTGCTGAAGCCTCAGAGGGGGTACTTCAGGAGTGGCAGGTGCCAACAAACCAACATCAGGTTGAACTGGCAAAACCGTAGTTGCACTGGCTGGTGAAGACGCGCAGATACCTGGACTTGGGCCAGGTGCCATTGCCATAGAAGCTTCAAGTAGTGGTGCACCTGGGTGTTTGGCTTTAGAACCTTCCACTTCTCGCAGAAAACCAGATCCACTACTGGGCTCACCTGGTGGCTGTTCTGGCAGGTCAGGCATCAGGCCATCCATCTGCAGCCTGTATGCAAAGTTCACCAAGAGGTCCAAGGTCTGCTTTTGCAACTCTTCTTCATTCAAAGGATCCTGAGAGGGGACGACAGCGGGGCCAAAAACAATGAAGTGATGAGTATGACAAAATGAAGGGGGTTGGCCGCCATCACCCTCCCTCTTCATCACTACAGGTGGAAGTGGTGGAACATGTTTGCATTGCTTTGTTGCTTGTGTTACATGCCCATGAGGTTCCTTTAAGGTTTTTTCTATAAAACTATGCTTATTACTAATATTGCAACCAGTTGAACAACTACAAACTCCTGACAACCAAAACATTCCCATGCATGAGCGCACAAGAGTCCCAAACTTGCATGCGCATTCCAAAACTTTGTAGCTTGCAGGGATGGAAAGCAACACAATTGACACTGGAGGACTCTTCTGCCCAGAGTTCAAATTGGCGTGCGTTCGCGCGTGCTGGTGACAGCATCTCTTGGAGCAGAAAACGGACGCTGCGCAGGTTGAGGGGCAAGGGAAAAAATTGCGACTTTCTGTTGAACTTGTACACACATGTAGACATATTTACTTGTGTATATAGTATATATGCATATAGAATGACGTTTGATTACGTTTGTGCGAGGAGGAACGAAATAGACCCCAAAGGTCCCTGCCACATATATATATATACATTGCTAATATTATATATTTTTACACATATCTCTATTAATTGTATATGTAACATATAAGCTCAATACAATCTAAATACAATATCGAAAAAAAAACTATTTTTTATGTGATTTCTGCATGTATAATATATATTAATATATACACATATGTTTATGGCATCATGAAAAAATGATCATCATTTGATCAACATTTGATCATCATTGTTCCTTTCTGTAGCTTGCTTGCTGTCTAGCTCGCACCTGGTCCTTGAAGTCGCTCAGAAGGTTAATGACATGTTGCCACGGCACAGCCGAGTGCCCAGATACTGCGCCTGGGATCGCACGGAAGTGTCACTTGAAGCGTAATAAGACAAGAGGATTGAAAGGATTGATCGTTGTAGCTACAACCATAACTTGAAAATTGAAGCACGTAATGCGAACACAATGTGACCATTGCATGCCTGCTGCACTATTCAAAACGATGCTTTCAAAATCTACTCTGCAAGACTAATGCTCTTCGACAAGTTGCCATAACTATGTCTCAATTCGGATCCACAATGTTTCAGGACAAAATGGCACAAGGTCTCCAAGCGTGCTCCAGCATACCCTACCCTGAAATCTCACCAAGGCACCAGTGTCACAAGCAGATGCTGCTGCTGTGTACCTCAGCAGCTTACATCAATTGTACTTGAACCTTCCTCAAACATCCTCAAACTATATCTTTGTGTCCGGGTACTGTCTATGTCATAAAGTAATTTAGAGTCAATATGTACAAACATGTTTCAATCCTCGGAAGCTCCCGGGCTGCAATCAGGACCCCAATCTTCGGCGTGGACAGTTCGAACCACCACCGGAAAGGCGAGTGGCACCACTGCGTTGCTCTGGAGCTGCTTCCCCCGCAAATCATCCAATAGCGCTACAGCCAGGGGCCATGCCGCATTCGCACCGCAAGCAGAAATTGCAGTGCCATACGTGACGATGCTGGGTTGGACAGCATCTACCTGCAAAACCAGAACACATTCAACATGGATGCACTTGAGGACACCATAAAAACTAGTTGAAAAGGTTTGAATCTTCAGGCTGTGTACTTATTCGCTTCATCCTCTTCAAATTGATCTAAATTGTACGAAAGCCTTCCCAGCCTGTAGCTGCTCCACCAAATACAGCACCCGTGCCCATTCCATAGCCCTTTCACACGTACGAAGGGCTGCATTGTAGCATATGATGTTGGCTTCCTTGGGAAGCAAACAGAAATCGCCGCTTGTCCACTCGGAGGATGTTGTATGGTCCTGTATCGTCCTGTATGGTAGTTTCGGCTCTTGGGCTCTTCCTAATGCAATGACAAGGCTCAACCTGATTTGTCTGCGCAAATTGAAGCATGTCAAGAGCCTCTTTCCAGTGTGCACCCATGGCACTCACCCCAGCGCCCAGCGTCACCACATCCAGCCCCACGGAAGCCTGTCAGATTTGGGAAAATCCCAAATCTTTCAGGGTTTTTCAGGACATCAGTTGCACATTCTCTATGATGCAGCATCACATGCAATTATGATGGCAACTGTCTCAGACAGACCTTTAAATTAAATTTCCCTCAATACACTTTGGACCCCCACCTGAGCATCCCGCAGGAGTAAGAGAGCAAGCTCCTAAGATGTCAGTTGTCACTCAATCGCTGGCATAGAACCCAAATAGCACATGTTTTTTCAAACGGCCACAGCACTCCGACACCAGCACCCTGCAGAAACACCCCGCAGCGGCACCAGCAACCACTCTGAAGCACAAGCTGCAGCGGCACACCCTGCTGCGGCACACCCTGCTGCGGCACCCTCCAGCAGCATTAGCAACCAAGCTCCAAGGCGCAACAGAAGTCTGACAGCAGCACATTGCAACGGCACCCTGCAGTGGCACTCTGAAGCGGCAACAGCGACTAAGCTCCAAAGCGCAAACTTAGTTTGAGAGTAGTAAGAGTAGTATCTCGCAGCGGCACTCTGACAGCAGCACCTTGCAGCAAATGTTCGAAAAGAAGTCGGCGGATGATTTGTGAGCGATAGAGAGGGCCAGGTTTTTGGAGTTCGCAGCGGCACCGCGGCCCCTCCAGCGGCATCAGTAGCCAAGCTCCAAAGCGCAAACACCGCTCCAATACAAGCACCTTGCAGCGACACCCTGCAGCGGCAACAGCACCGATGCACCGGCACTTTGCAGCAGCACCAGCGACGAAGCTCCAGCGACCAAGCTCCAGCGTGCCTCTGCAGCAGCACTCTGCAGCGGGACCAGCAATAGCAGCACCCTGCAGCGGCACCCTGCAGCGGCACCCTGCAGCGGCACCCTGCAGCGGCAACAGCAACCAAGCTCCAAAGCGCAAACAGCACTCTGACACAAGCACCTTGCAGCAGCATCTTGCAGCGGCACCCTGCAGCGGCGCCATTAACCAAGCTCCAAACGCAAACATGCAACCCTTCTTCTTTACTTGGAGTAAGAACCCCAATAGCTTTGCTATCTGGGAAAAAAAGCAGACCGCTTGGACCAGCTAGTCACCTCGCAAAGCTTGGCATGCAGTGCATGTGTTTAGGAAGGATAGAAGACATGGCTAGACATCATTTTCTGCACCTCTGCACCTGTCGATGCAAAGGGGGCTTCTGATGCACTCCAAGGGTATCCAATTGTCAACCAATCGTACATGCAATCTTGACTATGTTACCTCAGTTAGCAACCAATCCAATTTCAACATTGGCAGTACTTCCCTGCCAAGTGTCCCAATTGCCCCTGACCTTGCATCGCTGCATTGCTTTCCCATAGTCATATCGAGTGGGAGCTGGCAACTCAACTTTCAAAACTTCTTCCAGCAACGACATCAAACCCAACGTTCGGCAGCCGGAGGATATTCCATGCCAGCTTGGGTCAAAACTGCAGTGGCCGGCTGCTCAAAATGCTGCGTCCCTCGGAGCCCTTTCATACAATCCCATTGAAACCTTTTTGATACCCCAACCGACCAAAGGTCTTGCTTCCAGTGCTTCCCGTATAGACCGTATAGAGTCTGCATTCACTGCATGGCTTCTGTCGGAAGTACCCCAGTCTGGCTGACACAGCATCATTGATCACAGCATCATTGATCAGCATCTTACAACTTCAGAAATCAATGGTTGTGACAAGCCTTGCGCAAACATTCTGCATGGTAAACCCTCCCACAGCACGCCCTTTGGAGTCCTGGCCAGAACAGCTGACTAACAAATTAAACTCGCATTTGACAATGCTTCGAAACTATAGAAATTCTAGTCGACTAACACATACCTGTTGTTTTGGTGGTGCGAAAAACAGGTGAGTTGGCGCAATATGAAAATGTGATGTTGATACGTTCATGATGATCCTCTACTATGTAAACCTAAACTTGCCATCGAAAGCAAAAAAGTCGTGACATGTCTGGAGGCGCCAAACAGTTGAAGTTATGTCTTTCTCGTGAATGCACTAGCCAGAGTGAAGATATTCACAGGCTCGCAATGCTTCACACTTGCTTCATCTAAGACAAGCTGAAGCTGCTTCAACACTCTATTTCTAGTCACTGGCGCAGCTGGCGCAGCGCGATCCCTTTTTCGGAGTCTCCTCATTGCGGCACTGCGCTGCATGCATCCCAGAGTCCACCAACGTGGCTGACAGCGGGTGGCAGACTCCAGCGAATTAATGTACGCAATGGCCGAGCGGAACATCCGGGGGGCCATGGAGTTGCACCCATTCTTTTGGATGATACACTTCTACACTCATAAATTACTCATGAAAATCATGAAAATATCCAAAGGTGCTTGCTACTGTACCACTCTCTTCTGGTGAATGGCAGCCCAAGACCGCTCAAAGCCTCTTTCAACACATCTCCGTCAATGACCTGTTCAAGAGTTCAACAGATTGGTTCGACCTTTTCCATCCTTTTCCGATATGGCTGGTGATTAGCCCTTCAGGTAAGTGTAGATGGAGCAAGATTGACAGCACACAATTTCCGTCAAGCAGGCCGACTACAGGAACTATTGACCGGGTCTGGAATCCAAATAATATAATATGCTCATGTTACTAAGGGATGCTTTGAGTCGGCCGTCGTGTCCGTCGTGTCCGTCGTGTCCTTGTCAAGCACGTGCATTCCGGAACCGTTGACTTCTTGCAAAAAAAACTCGCAAGTGCAAGCGGCAACTGAATCCTGATCCGGAAAAAGATTCAAAGATTACAAAGTAGTCAAACAATTCACCAGGACCTTTTTCTCTATGCATTGGGGGTTGACTTTTGTACCAGCTTCGGCCCACCAGGGCTTGACACCCCCAGCCTCAGCGGGTTAACGCAGTGCCGCTGGCACCTGCCTCAGCCAGCTGCCACTGGGCACTGGCGTTGGTACACCACGAGGCCTTGGTGCAAATTGTCTCGGCTCAGGCGCCAAGCTGGAAAAGTTGCCACAAGTGTGTATTTATATATACAGTGTATATATATATATACAAAACGCTAAGAAGCCCTGCGAGGACTGGAGCCGCCCCTCAGCAAGACAGGAGCATTTTGATCCCAAGACTCTCTTATCACCTTTTCCCTACGTTCAGAACAAAACCTGACAGCTCCTCTTTTCTGGAAATTTGGCTTGAAAAATTCCTTCAGCTATCTTCAGCCGGAAAAATGTAATAAGATTTGAAAATGAAGATAGCTGAAGGCTTTGCTGAAGCATGCTGAAGCCGATCTTTGGCGTTGCCCAGCCCAGCTCACTGAGCTCAGGAACCGGTGCTGGACCAGAAACCCTGGGAAATGTGGCAGTTGCCGTGTAGCATCTTCATGAAGAAAAAATGGCTGCCGCAAGCATGCAGGGCGGACTGCTGCGGAACGTTGACCATTGGAGGCGGCCTGGCAAATGAGAAAACGGAAGGGCACAGCAAGACTTGCAAGGAAGACTACTAACCAAGAAGGAGACACAGAGAACCAAACAAAACATTTGATGTGCCCTTCTGAACAACTTTAAACAGATTGCCAGTGTTCTTGGTGACTGGGCTCTGAGAAGCCGCAGATTCTGTCACCGTAGTCAGTGCATTTCCTCTTTGGAGAATTATATACTCAAACTGCAATAAACTTGGGTATTGCCTGATCGTTGCGTGGAGGAAGACTGATGGTTAGACGAGGCATGCGCAGGGAGAAAAATCCTTGCAGGTAGCAACGCTTCCATTCCTGACCTGCACTGCTCCCTGGCCAAGTTCACCCCTAATTCCATCTGTAACACTGCGTGTTCCCGTCAGCTTTCCGCCCGCCTCATTGCCTCTGGGCCTTGTGTCACTGGAAAATGCTCAAGATTCTTTGTGGCAGTGATTCGAAAGAAAATGGAAAATCTAAGAAAATCTCAGCTAGAATCTGTTGGGGCATTCCACGCCCAGCAAGTCAGAGCTTTTTTTCCTGAGAATTGGAAAACGTAGATACCGTAGATCATCGTAGATCCTTCATCTGCCTGCATTTCCGGATCCGACAGGATCCGACAGGTTTCGGTGTGGGCTCCCCACGGATTGGCCCCCGCATCATCGGTTCGGAGCTGCGGCCGCGGTTGTCTGGCGAGAGGCCACCAAGACAACCGGGTATCGAAGTTGATACAACAAATGTTGAAACGAGCCAAACAAAAGAGAGGACATGGGTCACAGGAACATCTCACCATGTACTACCCTCACCAGAACCAAAATGTGCAGCGTTCACAGAACCAAGATAAAGCGTGCAGGGAGTACGAGGTAGCTCACCACGAGGAGACATTGCCATCGCCTGAGCTTCAAAAGGTTAAAGCTATGCAGCTATGCTGTCCTGCCCTGTAAATGGACACCTGATTTCATGAGCCGTTTCGGCAATCAACTCCTTCATTTTCTATCTGCCTAGAATTAGTAGGCCAAGGACTTAGACTGGCACTTGGAATTCCACATATGGTCCCTGATGAGACTCTGTTGAGACCCTACACCCTGGCCTACCAGTGCCGGACATGCTGTTAGAAAGCAAACAAGGCGAAAGTGATGAAAGCAAATAGATCCTGCCAAAGCTCGGTACACATTCAATATCGCCCCAGTATCGCCCCAGACCCAGGTGGGGCTCGTCTGGGTCTCCAGATGTCTCTTGTAGATCTAAGTTCGGGACCATCATGGTCTCAGGAGAGAGAGATCGTAAGGATGCCTTGGCTTCCAAACCCAGCAGCAACTGTGGAGCGAAAAATGCGAAAACCCTGTATATAGATTATTTTGACATCTTTTGACTCAGAATGGAACGTAGCAGTTATAAGATTGGTGGGCAAAGATTTCAATCTTATCACTTGGCAGGGAACAAACCAAGCACATGATGTGTCACCAAGCATTCCCAGTCTAATATATAGATTCGTTGATCCGTTTCACTCTCTGCATTGAGGTTCCGACGCTCGTTGTGGGCATCCCACCCCTGCCAGCTTTGGACACCCACCCATGTCAACATGAACCTGAAACCAAAATGCAAAATGTTCTCTGCCCAACGTGTCTCAATGCTACCTGCCTCAACGTAGGCACAGACATCACTGGCGACAGGCCGCGAACAATTGCAGGAGACATTGACCGGACACTTGCAGGACCTGCAAACAATGTCAGAATGTTTGGATCTTTTGGATCTCCAGAGTTCAGTACTCTCAGACCTCCACTTGAGAACTAGCCTACCAGGCCTACCATCTCCAAGTCTCTTTTTTTTCACACAAACACCTTCAACCCACTGACCTATTTGTTTCAAGCACAAGAGCTTGCAACTGAGGACCTTCCCAACAAGTTCTCCTCTGTACATTAATGATCGGTTGCTTTTCTGCAAGTTTCCACAAGATGAACAAAATACATGGATATCCCTCTGCCTGCGCCGTGGGCATGCTGGCCTTGCTGTGGATGTTGTGCCTGGACTCGTACTTTCGGGGGAAAGGTCCACATGTTTCGAATCCACCCTAGCCGATGAGGGAAGGTGTTTCTACAAGAACCTGCAACATCTTCCTGAGTCCTTACTGCAGTTGCTACCGCGCCTGCCACTCCTGCCACTGTTCATTGGACACCTATGTGAAGCCGGCAGAAAGGCCAAGAATGAGATGCAGTGACTTGTGTTCGACATTGAAAGACTCAGCAGCCAATGGAACTTGTCTCTTTGCCTTTCTGCCTTCTGCACTTCAAAGGTGTCACGATCAAAGAAAATGACATGCCGCATGAAGGCTTCCCATCATTCAAAGGCAAAGGCAATGAACATCTGTGCTTCTTTCAGAACACTCAGATGGGCCTGACGCACCACCCGATTGTCTGGGAAAGGCCTGGGCAATCGAAGAAGTGCTCTGTACACCAGTGTGTGTCTCTGTGTGTACAAAGCACGTGGCCCATACGGAGACACACCGCAACGCCCTATAGACCCACGACAAAGTCTCTTCAGGTTTCGACGGTGGTACACTGGGAACATAGATGTTTCTTGCTGATGAGAAGGAATTCGAAAATTATCATATGAGTAATTGAGTGCATGTATGGGCTGGACTTGGAATTTCAACTTGGAATGCCTCCAGTAAGTTCTCAAGAACCTGACTTCCTGCCTTCAAACCGTGAATGAGAAGTGGCCAACCCTTGCAAGTCGACACCACCAAGCCTCAAGAACTCCAGGCACTTTGAGCTCCCCACATAGGTCGAAGAGGCCCACGTTTTTGAATGGTTTTCTCTGCCTAGCAGAATGTTCAAAAAAAAATGTGGATCTAAGAAACTGAAATAAATTACAGTAAACTAAAGTTACGGCAGCTATGAAGTGTTCTTCACATTTCGTCGCGATCTTATCCATTGGAGTCCCCTGAAGCGCCCGCAGCCTGAGTCAGGATGTTTTGAAGTGCTGCGTCGCTAATCTCCAGGGCTGCATTTTGCAAGCTGTCCTCAAGTTTCAACATGTTTGACTGAAAT